GGGTAGAAAATGCAGGGAATCTTGGACTTGTCTTTATCCTTTCCCGATCCCTTTCCGCTACCAGCTCTACCGGGCCTACCTCCCTTGGGTGATCTAGGTGGAGTTCTACCACGAGATGGGTCAGCTTTCACATGTTCGAAAGAACAGTTCTTGCCTCTGGGGCATTCTCCACGCTAAAAAGCAAAGCAAGGCTTCTTCTCATCGCGACCTCGAGGGGTTGATGGGGCTCTCGGCTTCTCCTCAAAGGCGGGGGCACCATACCTAGCACCGTGAGCTCTGGCAATAGCAGTGCGGTTACTGCGGGTGCGCTCCCTCTCAAGAAGCTCTTTAACACACTTGACAAGGTAGCCATATGTGTGCTTTTCCTCCCCTTCCTTAGCTCGATCATAGACCTCTAAGTCGAACTTAAGCTTGTGTGAGTTTCGTAGCTCGCGAAGAAGAATGTCTCGGAGAGTCGTCTCTTCGGGTTGGTGGTTGAGGCCTGCGATAACCGATTCCCAGTTGTGGATGAAGGTACTCAGATCATCTCTATTAAGCTTCACCTTCAAAAGATCTTCGACGCTATAAAGTGATCCAGCTGCCTCATTGGCTTTGAAGAACTGTTCGAACATGAAGAGAATTGCCTCCCACGTGCTGCTCTTCCCGCTGCAGCTTCGGATTCTTTATAGTTGATGATCTGCCTGTTCAACTCACCCTTGGCGACTCTGGAAAGTGCATTGAGGATCTTGGTGTCAAGGGTAAGGAACTTGCCTCTAAGGGATTCGTTAGTGGCTGTTCTCTCGTAAACCTCTTGCACCCAATTGAATGCCTCATCTGGTTTGTCTGATGCGGCTCTAACGGCCTCGCGAACAGCAATCTTCCAGGACCTGTAAGATTCCGGATTCGGGAAATCGGGGAATCTTATGCTTTCGGCTTCCTTCGTCTTGGGTTTGTCGTCGTCAGTCTTGCCAATGGCAGCTTTCAGGGCGGAGACTAGGCTCTCGTGCGAAGACTCAACCCGTGGGGCTTCGGTTGGTTTCTGTTCACTCAGCGCCTCTGGTTGCTTCTGAGTCTCCTGAGCCTCTGAATCCTTTGCCTTTGGGCCCCCACTCATGCTGAATACCTCCGGATTCTCCAAAATGCCCTGAAGTTCCTTTGGAATCACGCGGGGATCGGAGAGCGTGGGCATCCAAGATGCCGTTGAACCCTGTGCACCCTGAAGTGCAGCAGCACTCGATATGGCACCACCTTGCGGTGGGCTAAGGTTGCCAGCATCACCAAGTGGAATATCACCAACAGCTGATCCAGGTACGGCTCCAACTTGCGTTGGGCATGTTCTGCTTTCGGCGAATTCCATCCTTAGTGAGTCAACCTCAG